CCCCAGCTCCCCGCTGCCCTGCCACACTTCACCTGTGTACACGGGAGCAGCGTGGGCAGCTGGGAAGCCTGCAGAGGAAGCGGCAGGGAGCTGGGAGCAGGCAGCTTTCTGCACCCCGCTCTGTGCCCTGCTGCGCTGGGTTCCAATGCTGCTTTGCAGAAGTGGCAAGGGAAGCACAGCGGGAAGCATTGCCAGTGTGTGCTGCCTCCCTGGAGCCCAGGGTCGGGTCTGGGAGGCAGCTGGGGCCGGGGCCAGGGCAGAGAGGCAGCAGATGTTTGCAGCTGGCTCAGGTTTTGGATAGCTGCTGATAGCCACAGAGCCTGGGCTGCTTGCAGTAGGGCTTGCAGCATCCTAGCTGCCTGCTGGGAGCAGCCGGGGCTCCTGGCTGGCAGTAGCTACCCAGAGCTGGGGCCGGCTGCAGCCAGGAGGCTGCAAACAGCTGCTGCCTCCCCGGCCCCAATGTGTACCTAGGAAAATGGCCTCATGTGCCATGCTCTGCACACATGTCGGGGGTTGCCGACCCCTGGACTAGATGATCTTTGGTTTTTTCCAGAACTAACGTCTATGCTGAACCAGGGGTGGCAGCAGGAGGACCACCAGGATTTATTCCTTCATATACTACAGCAGGTGGCTGTACAGGCCTACTGGACTCTGTTCCTACCATGACATACTGGATACTTGCAGGGGAGTCTACAGAGCATCCTTGGCAAAGTCTTTGAAAAAATTATCAAGGCTCACATATGCGAGAGCCCGGCAGGACAAATTATGCTGAGGGGAAACCAGCACGGGTTCGTGGCAGGCAGATCGTGCCTGACCAATCTAGTCTCTTTTTATGACCAGGTTACGAAATGCCTGGACACAGGAGGAGGGGTGGATGTCGTATACTTAGACTTCAGGAAGGCCTTCGATACGGTATCCCACCCCATACTGGTGAACAAGTTAAGAGGCTGTGACTTGGATGACTACACAGTCCGGTGGGTGGCGAATTGGCTGGAGGGTCGCACCCAGAGAGTCATGGTGGATGGGTCGGCTTCGACCTGGAAGGGTGTGGGCAGTGGGGTCCCGCAGGGCTCGGTCCTTGGACCGATACTCTTTAATGTCTTCATCAG